GCACTTCAGGAAGGGGCACCTCTTTCATTGGTGGTCAGTGAGAGGAGCACAGTATGTGGCGGCCCTCCAACGGTCTGAGGGACAGTGAACTGGCCCCCTGTGTAAAAAGTTTGGGGACGCCGGGCAACAAGAGCGAAACTCCGTCTCACAAAAAAAAAAAAAAAAAGTTTGGGGACGCCTGGTCCAGAGTAAATGTTATTAACAGGTAATTCCCCTTTGATATTCCCCATCCAGCACAAAGTTAAAGTGAGTGGAAATGAATGGGTGTGGGGTAAGCCCGTTGATGGGTCTCCATCTCTTTCTAACTTAATGGACTGGCCAGCTGCCTTTGGTCTGCCCCAGTAAAACCTTTTGGCCTCCCAAAAGGTTTGAGACTGTAATTTATAACTTTCCCTAAATATTTTCCGTAATATTTTGCCGCCACCCCGAGTGAATAGCAACACACGATTTCGCCAGGATTCTGTCCCCCTCACATGGATGTGAGGCTCATGTAATTGTCAGAACCCCGAGCTTATGCAGGCCCCACACTTGGTTTAATGTTCTGCTTTCACTGTTTTGAAATTCTTAATAATTGGTGGACAAAGTTCCCCACATTTTTTTTTCCTGTCTGGCTCTCAACAAGTCCCCATATTTTTATTTTGCTGTGGTTCCTACAAATTAGGTAGGTGCTCCTGACTGCCACAGTAGATCTAGGGTAGAGCCCAAGATTTCGCATTTCTGACAAGATCCCAGGTGATCCTGATGCCTCTGGTCCATGGGTCACACTTTGAGTAGCAAGGCTCAGTCTGAAGTGTGTTAGACCTAACAACTTGGAAGGAACCTGAAAGACAGTATGACGCTGAAGTCCCCGGCAGCTGAAATACTCATCACAAACTGTTAAGTGAGACATAAATTTGGATTTTTTTTAACATTCTGTTTTTTGGAGTATCTTTTTTTTTTTTTTTTTTTGAGACGGAGTTTCGCTCTTGTTACCCAGGCTGGAGTGCAATGGCGCGATCTCGGCTCACTGCAACCTCCGCCTCCTGGGTTCAGGCAATTCTCCTGCCTCAGCCTCCTGAGTAGCTGGGATTATAGGCACGCACCACCATGCCCAGCTAATTTTTTGTATTTTTAGTAGAGACGGGGTTTCACCATGTTGACCAGGTTGGTCTCGATCTCTCAACCTCGTGATCCACCCGCCTCGGCCTCCCAAAGTGCTGGGATTACAGGCTTGAGCCACCGTGCCCGGCCTGGAGTATCTTTTTTAAAGCAAGTTAGCCTACCCTAACTAAAGGAAGTGAAGGAGAGCAGGTCACTGTTCGTCCTTTTCTAATTTTGGGAAAAGCCTACAAGGCTTTTTTTGAGTGGTCAAATCCAAGCTCATGCTCTGTGGTTCACTTCCTCCAGTGCTGAGGGCGTGGGGGTGCTGACTGGAATGGCCTTCCTGATCTGAAGGGCTGGAGACTGACTCTGGAAGGCCTCTTACACATCTAGCCCAGACCATGCAGTGCAGCCCAACTTACCAGAGTTCTGTTTTGAAGTTTGGGATGAAACACCAACCAACAATCGAGTACTGGTCATTGTTGTCAGAACTTATCCCCCCGGGGACCTTGTGGGTTTGATTGGGCATAAGATTCATATATTCCTTGTATCCCTTAACCATAAAGGCCATCATATTACCCTCATTTTACCCCAACCTCTAACAAAGTACCTTTGTTGTAAGAGAACAAAAACAAGTTATTTTAAGCAAAAGATGATGTAGTGTGTTACAATCTTGTTGCTAGGAATGACACCATGTCCCTAAACCTATTACCACCACATAGCATCCCTGAATTCCTTCACCGTCTTATGGAGCACCGGGCTGCAGATCATGATCCCTCTGGGAGTGGCGTCTGTGTGGGACTACAAGGGTTATGGTGGGTTCCCTTAGTCCATGTGGTTTACATTTCTCTGTCTCGCCCAGCCACCCTGTCCCTCTCCCCATCTTGGCTGCCCTACCCAGTATAGTTTCTTCTTGTCTCTTTTATTCTCAGTCTAAGATCCAATCTATTCCTTTGTTCCCAAGTGAACTTGCTGTGTCCAGACTTAACTTTCTTTTTTTTTTTTTTTTTTTTTTTTTTTTCTTTTTTGAGACGGAGTTTCGCTCTTGTTACCCAGGCTGGAGTGCAATGGCGCGATCTCGGCTCACTGCAACCTCCGCCTCCTGGGTTCAGGCAATTCTCCTGCCTCAGCCTCCTGAGTAGCTGGGATTACAGGCACGCGCCACCACGCCCAGCTAGTTTTTTGTATTTTTAGTAGAGACGGGGTTTCACCATGTTGACCAGGATGGTCTCAATCTCTCGACCTCGTGATCCACCCGCCTCGGCCTCCCAAAGTGCTGGGATTACAGGCTGGAGCCACCGCGCCCGGCCTCAGAATTAACTTTCAAAAAGCAAAGCTTTGCAGCCTATCAACTACTTCAGACCTTCTGGCCCCCTCTTCTTTCTCCAGCCACTGCTACAGTGATGAGTTCCACCACAGGCTTTGATTCATTTCATGTAGGTACAACCTGGCAGCACCTTGCTTTGGGTCTGCTCCGTGGACCTTCTGTTTCCTAATCCAGGTAGATCCGCTGGACACTCACATGTGCCTAGACAAGAAATGCAGAAAAGTTAGCAATGGTGGGGCCACCCTTGACCAAAGGGAGATGGAAGCCAGTTGCTAGGTACCTTTCTTTTTGGACTCCTGATGGAGAGCACTGAGACACTTTTTACGATGTTCCTCTGAAAGTCTCGGTGGCATCAGTTATGTGACCCTTATGAATGGCCAGCTCTATAACATGTCCCTGTATTGGCCTTGCTCCTCGCTGTTTTATCCACTGTCTCACTCCTGCTCCCCAGGTTCATTCACTGAATAAAATACCTGCATGCAAGACTTCGTTTCTGCTTTCTTTTCAGGAGAACCCATGCTAAGAATTGTGGAAAGGTGGTGGAGGTGGGAAGGGGATGCAGTGGGAGAGCCTGCTTTGGGGCCTTATCACCTAGACTTAGTCTGTTATCCAAGTTGAGGGTGCAGTAGGTAAGAAACAGAACATACCCAGTCATCATTGCAGGCTGAGTCTTCTCTCTCCCCACGTGACCTGCTTCCTTCTCCCTCCGCTCTGATGTCCCCCACATCTGTTCAGCAGAGCTGCCTGACCCTACCCGCAGATGCAGCATGGCTTACGGCTTGGTATAGCAACTACTGAAGGATCCTCAACCTCTAGTCGCTAGGCAAGCCTCCAACTACACTCTGGGGTACTAGGGAGAGGGGCACATCCACACTTATTCAATAGTAAGAGACTCAAAGGCATTACTTCTGATCAAGGAACGAATTTTACAAAAAAATGAAGTGTGACCGGGACCCATGCTTATGGAATTCACTGGTCCTACCACATTCTCTATCTTCCTGAAGAAGAGAAGGAGTCTCCACTGCTGAACCTCTTGACCTTGTTCCATGTATCCCGGGTTCTGGAGTCAGACAAACCCAGCCTGTGGTCCTGGCTCTGTACCTGTTACATGTGTGACTTTGGAGAAGGTCCTGAGTATGTATCTCTAAACCTGTTTATCCAACTGAGAACATCGAAGGCTTCTCTGGAGTGTCAATCAGATAAAGCGTGTAAAGTAAAGGACACAGTCTTGCAATTGCAATTTAAAAGATGGCAGCGATTCTGGTTACTATTCACTGGCCTTCCATACCCCAGCAGAGTTTGCACTACCACCAGTGTGTGCCTGGATTGAGGCTCTTATTGTGTCATGTCTACCTGCAGCAGTCCCTTCCTCTTTAGAACAATAAACGCTGTCAGACGACAATGAGTGAGACGAATGTTATCTTGTGAAGAGTTATACGGGACAATAGAAATGAAAGTGTTTTTATGAACTGGTCAAATGCTAGTTAGAGGGGTTTCCAGTCCGGCAGGGGAACTGACAACAGAACCAGTTCTGAGAGGAGTGGGCAAAGATGAACCAGCAGGCGTGAACAAAGTGCTTGGGAGCCACAAACTGCCCTGGAGTGTGGTTCGTGGCTACTGAGAAGGCTCTTCAAGGAAGTGGAATTTCTGTCTGGACATGAATTCTAAGTCAGTGGAAAGAAAAATGAGGGAAACTGATGGGAGAGCCATTCTTTAGGGAGAATAAAAAGGAGCTTTAAAAACTGTCAGATAGAAGCAGGGTGATGTCCATAAAAAATAATTAATAAAATAAGAAAATAAAAATTTTAAATAGGATTAGGAATAGGGGCTAGTGCTGGTAAGACTAATGTATTAGCTGCCAGGACTTCAGGGATGGGGCTTTCCAAAGCCTCAGGGAAAGGACATTGAGGACAAGGCCCGGAGGTTGAGAAGAGGACAGGACACAATTGACTGGACAGTGAAGACATCGGGGCACCCAGAGGCCTGGGAATAGCAATAAAATGCCTGGCGAGGCCTCTGCATGACCAGGGTGAGGGGGGGGGTGAGCGGTGTGAGACGATTGATGTAGACACAGATATAAAAGGAAGAGTTTAACATAGAGAGTCACGAACGACTAACATGAGATTAGCTACTAAGGGATAAAGAGCACAGAAATAATTTTGGGAAAGGGCTCCGCACAAGGCTGAGATTTAAATCTTGCTGGAGAGTGTGTGGCTGTAGCCACTGGGTGGCAGGACGCTTTGGCTGGGTGCCACAAGCCAAAGCTGACAAGCAACGAGCTCCCCATTGAGGTGCCAGCAAAACGTGCCAGAGGTGCAGTTGAACTCACTGGGAATGTGGCTGGGGTCCTGCGAACTCACTGGGCAGCTGCTTACATAGGGTAAGGGATGGGAGGCTGCTGAAACCCCTGGGATCCTGTAGGGGTGGCCACTGAACTCCTTATGCCCTTGCCTCAGGCATGCCCAAGATGCCCTGTGTGCCCAGGAGTTGCCTCCCACACACCCAGTCTCCACCTTTGCCCAGATGTGCACAGGTCACACCTTTATACCAAACAGGCAGTCTATACCCCAAAGAATAAGGCAGTTTCCAAAAATTCTACCTCTTAAGTATTTATTAGACATTTATTGTGTCCCCTCTCCTCACTTTGTATCCCTGCCCAGGGGCTCACAGCCAGGTCTCCTGAGGGCAGAGTGAAGAGGAAGCTCAGTATTTCTCTGGCAGGCCGTCAGGTCGGAAGTGATTGGGGTCTTTGCCACTCCGGCCCCATTCGTTGGCAGCCTGGTCAGCCAGCGAGTCCTCCGCACCATGGCCAAATAATTCCTGAATACCTTCTCTGGCATCGCTGTAGTCCAGGCACACAAGAAGGAAATTAATCACCAGGCCGGTGAGCGACAGCTCACCCTCCCACTTTCCCCACTGCAAGGGAGGGCTCTGGGAGGAGCTCAGAAAGGCCAAGGAAGGAGGGGCAAAAACACTGACCCTGCTTGGGCACGGCCCCACTCAGCCAGGCTGGGCACCACTAGGCTGGATGAACAGCACCCAGAGACAGAGGGTGAGGAATCACCCACTCCCACCATCCACTCAGACCCTTGCACTGAGCACAGAGGCAGAGAGAGGGCAAGAGCAGGAGGGGCCGCAACCTCTAACTTCTCTACAAGGAGCTTGTCTCCCTCCTGACAGTTCAAGGCAGGCAAGCTTTGCTCACCCAGCCCTGGTATCCCAGAAGCTCAATTACCTGATCACTTTTGCAGCCCAGGCACCCCCGGGTCCCCTTTGGGCAGCATCATAGTTCCCCCGAGCGTGGAAGTATTTGTCTGCGCCGATGTAATTGGCTTCCCTCATGTCAGAGTAGGCTCTCCACATGTCCCGAGCCCCTGGGAAGGAAAGGAAAGGAAAGGAAAGGAAAGGCAGAAGGGACATCAGGAGAACATAAAGACTCTGCCAACCCCTTAGAGAGGAATGAAAGAAGGACCAATCTTCCACTGACTTGAAGCTTTCAGCCTGTGATCATAGCAGCCCTGGACACCATGGGTTGAGAAGCACATTCCTTTATCCTAGTTGGCTTCTCCAGGTCCCCTGACGAAGCTGCTTATGACAAGATCCAGGAGTGCACATGAATGAGGTGGTGACATAAAAGACTGATGCTGAGAAAGGTGGCAGACACAGAGCACTTCTGCCCTGACTACTAACATATATGTCCTTGCAAATGGAACACATGGTATTGTGACCTGAGTTCCAGTGAGTGTTAGGAGCATAAAAGTCCCTAAACCCTCTCTCAGTAGGGTGCACCGATGCTGTCGGTAGCTTGAAGAAGCAGTAGAGCAGTGATGCTCAGCCTTGGCTGCACTTCTTTTTTATTTTTTATTTTTTTTAGACAGATTCTCGCTCTGTCACCCATGCTGGAGCACACTGGCACGACCTCAGCTCACTGCAACCTCTGCTTTCCGGGTTCAAGTGATTCTCCTACCACAGCCTCCTGAATAGCTGGGATTACAGATGCCTGCCACCATGCCTGGCTAAATTTTCATAGTTTTAGTAGAGACAGAGTTTCACCATGTTGGTCAGGCTGCTCAGGAACTCATGACCTCAAGTGATTCACCCACCTTGGCCTCCCAAAGTGCTGGAATTACAGGTGTGAGCCTCAGCTGCACTTTCTAATCACCCAGAGAGAAACTGAAAGTTCCAATGCACAGGTCACATCCCAGGACAGTTTCTGCAGACTCTCTTGGGGACTTGCAGGCATGAGTAGTTCAGGTGCCTCCAAGGAGTGGCTGAGATTCATGACCATCAAACTCTGGGACGTGATCAGTGATGCATCTACCTGGCAAGAGCTCTGGCCTCAGGCACAGCCGGGCTCAAACCCTTGCTCTGCCGCCTGCTAACTGGCAGTAAGTCCCTGGGCATCAGCCTCAGCTGCTCTAAGCCTCAGCTTTCTCACCTTCAAAGAGGGGAAGGTGCCTGCCTCACAGAGTCATTCTGAAATTAAGTGAAAATGCTCTGGTCCCTGTGGGAGCTTGCTGCACGTCAGTTCCCATCTCCTGTCAAGAAGGCTGGGGAAGGAAAGGAAACAACGAACCAGGAAGGGAGCCCCTGGCAGAGCAAAGCTAAAGGACCTTGGACATTATCCCACTAGGAACTTGAAGGAGGAAGGAGAAAGAAGACAGAAGTGTCAACAGCCTCAGTGAAACTCTCATGCCATTGTGCTGAGGGCTGTTTTACGCCCATTGCAGACCTTATTTTGCATCTTATACTCAAAACAAACAGCTCAGCTGTTCCTGGGAAGGATGACTGTTTTTTGTCTGAGTGACTGACAATAATCCTCAACCCTCTAATCTGTTTAGCAGCTCCCCAGACACCTGGCACTTTCTGCACATTGGGCAGCACAACCCAAGGCAGCAGCTGAAACCTTAAGAAAGCACGAGAGTACCCATGTGCGTTGTTACTGGATTCCCCATCCCTTATGGCACAGGAGATGTGATTTTGATAAACCTTGCAGCAGCTTCTGTAGCATGATGGATCAACTGAACACACCCTGAAAGCCTGCACTACGGGGAAAGGAGATATTTCCAGCAGCTCCGAAGGACCGAGATGGGCAATCCAGCGAACCCTAGTTCATGGCAGGCCTTAGCAACGCAGACACTAGCCACTCTCCAGTTCAAAAGCAGCCTTCCAAAAGCATCATTCCCCCCATTTTATCAGGTCCAGGGTAGTGTTTCTCTTCAGAAATCCTGCAAACCTTCTGAAAACTTACCACCAACAGCCTCGCCAATGAATGAAAACCAGCTGTGGACACCCAGAACCAAAGAGCAGAAAACCAGGCCCGTGAGAAGCTTCATGGTGCTGAAACGAAAGGAGAGGTCAGGCAGTCACCTACAAGACCAGCACACCTTCCTACTGGCTCTTATTAAAATCTTAGTGACTCATCTAGGACTAAGTGTAGCAGGACCTCACTGAGTGCCAGAAGCCCTCGTTTCTGAACCCATCAGTGTAAGAGGATGTCAATGTGGCATTGATAGAGGAAGGCAAGAGTTATGACCAGACTCCCTCGTAGCCTGTAATTCCCCGCAACCCATGTACCATGGGTTCCCTCTGCCCAGCACAGAACTCACACAGGACAAACACAAAGCGGGATCACTATTTTTCATTCTTAAAGCCTTTAGCCCCTGCTATTCCCAGGTGGTCTCTCATCCAAGTACTACCAGGCCTTATCCTGCTTACCTCCCTAGATCAGAGGAGCTAAGACACCTTCAGAATGGTCTGGCTGTAGGCCCTAGGATGACTGTTTTTTTTTTTTTTTTTTAGGAAATGATAATCTTTTTGGGAAAGAGAAAACATAAAGTTAAAAAAATATTACCCCTTGGCATTTTCCTCACCTGATCTGTGCTGGAGCCGAGATGCTGGTCCCTGCCTGCCAGAGAGAGGTGGCTGCTATTTATACTGAGCCATCCCTGCTGGGCTCATGGGAGGGAAGAAAAGCTGGATGTGGTCCCTGGGGAAAGTCCCTGCAGGTCATTTCCCCGACAAAAGGGTCTAAGACAAGTTCCTGGACGCCAGTGGTTTCTTCATCCTGGGTCATTTGTCCCCGTTGTGCAACCAGAGGGAACAAGATAGGTTTGCTGTGCCTTGGCAGCTGTCAGGGCAGACCAGCTCTGCTCCTTAACACTGGGGGAGCTGAGGCTGCAGAGATGAGAGTGGGAGCCCTGTGATGGTGGCACCAGGGCTGCTGGATGGTGTGGAATGATGGGTCTTCAGCCAGCTCCTGACCGTACCAGTCATTTCCCCAGGATGGTCCCTGCTGGGCTGAGATGTGTGTCTACAGCCTGTGGAAGTCTGACCTGCAGACCCTGACTCAACGACAGATGAATGAATGCACTCTCACACCATTACGGTGTTTCAACCAGGGTTAGATGTTGGCTGCTTTCAGAGGGTGAAATGCAACCAATCGACCCAGACCCTCTGTCTGTCACAGATTTATTCCCAAGATTTTTAAATAGAGGTTCTAAGTTAACACTCTTGTGGATAATTAACATGATTAAAGAGTGGTTATACGACTGATAAAAGCTTTAGGTTTGGGGACCCAGAGTAAATGCTATTAGCAGGAAATTCCCCTTTGATCTTCCCAGGAGTGAGCCAACCAGCGCAAAATTAACTTAAATGAACAGCTGAGTGGAGACAAATGGGTGTGGGGTAAGGCCTTTGATTGTCTCTATCTCTCCCTAACTTAACATAGTGGACCAGCAGGCCACCTTTGACCCGCCCCAGTAAAACCTTTTGGCCTTCCAAAAGGTTTGAGAATATAATCTATTAACTTTCCCTAATATATCTTTAATATTTTCCAACCACCCCAAGTGAATCTCAACACTGGGCCACATGGCAGATGCCTCTGAAATGAAGTCCCTCTGAGTTCACATCTAAAGCTTCAAAACTGACAGATTAGGTCCAGCACAGTGGCTCACTCCTGTAATTTCAGTGCTTTTGGAGGCCAAGTCAGGAGAGTCACTTGGGGTCAAGAGTTTAAGATCAGTCTGGGCATAATCGTAAGATCTTGTGCCTGCAAAAAATAAAAACAAATGAACTGGGTGTGGTGGTGTGTACCTGCAGTCCCAGCTACTCAAGGAGCTGAGGCAGGAGGATTGCTGGAGAGCCCAGCAGGTCAAGGCTGCAGTGAGCTATAATGACGCCACTGTACTCCTGCCTGGGTGACAGAGCAAGACCTTGTCTCCAAAACAAAATAAAACTGACAGCCTAGCCCTGCCATGTCTCATGTGTGCCCTGGAAGGCTTCTTCCACCCCTCTGTCTAAATATCCCAAGATTCACCTCCTTGGCACAGAAAATCCCTGCCCAGCGGGCCTAGCCAATTAGCAAATGTATCATGTAAGCTGGCTCCTGAGCTGGTGGCAATATAGAGAAGGGGACTTTCTGCTGCCCCAGCCTGGTCCTGGAACCCCACATTGGGAGAGTGAAAGTGTGGTGTTATCAATTGGCAACCCAGCTGGGGCAGTGCCAGACTTCCAGGCAGGGGAGGGTTGGGGAGCTCTTGGTCTGCTGTATTACCCTGGAAGGGTGCAGGGTGCACCCAGGTCACTGTCTCATGGGAACATCAGCAGGGTCAGACTAGTTCTGCAGAGGCTGGTGGGGGAGCATGGTGATCAGAGACGGGTCAGTACCAGAGCCCAGCAGGGCTGAGGCCAGGACAAGCAGAGAGGCTGGTGGACATAGCAGCTCCTTTGGTTTCTTCTTCTCCATAGTCCATTTTCACTTTTGTTTTTTCTTTCCCTCCCTCCCTCCCTCCCTCCCTCCTTCCTTCCTTCCTCTCTCCTTCCCTCCCCCTCTTCCTTCTTTCCTTCCCTTTCCTCTCCTCTCCTCTTCTCTTCCTCTCCCTTCTTTTCTTTCTTATTCTTTCAAGACAAGGTCTTGATCTGTCTCCTGGGCCGGAGTGCCGTGGCACGATGACGGCTCACTGCGGCCTCAGCTTCCCAGGTTTAAGTGATCCTTGCATCGCAGCCTCCCAAGTAGCTGGGACTAGAGTTGTTGGCCAACACGTCTAGGTGATTCAAAAAAATTTTAGTACAGCCTGGGCAACACTATGTTGCCCAGGATAGTCTCAAGCTCTTAACCTGCAATCCTCCTGCCTTGGCTTCCCAAAGTGCTGAGATTATAGGCGTGAGTTATCATGCCTGACTGGAAGTTCATATCTGATTGCTTCTATGTTTCACTGAAATAGGAAGCCAAGTTGTCAACTGAGAAAAGAATGAATGAGGAGTTACGGGAAGTTTCAGGAGAGAAGAGAAGTAAAAAGTGGTCATCTGGGAGAGAAAGAATGTGATTGAACTTGAGAAAGGTAGCGGATTGTACAGTACCTCAAGATTAATGACCACGAATTTAAAGTAAGACAAATCATAGCAGTCATGCTTTTTTTCTGATCACATTCAGCTGCCAAGGTTCAGACTTTTAGCAAGTGGTAAATTGGATATCACTGTGCAATACGAGCTTGTTTTAATTGAATGAATGAATACAAGCAAAGGTCAAAGGAGGAGAATTGATTTATAGATGAGGGAGGATGATAGAGCACAGGGAGAAAGTTAACAGAGAGAGTGACTGAGGGTAAAAGATAGGGCATAACGTAGACTTCAATGACCAAGGGCCCACAGGGCCACTGGGGAGGAGGCTGCCCAGAGCGTAGCAGGAACAGATCTTCCTCTGAGACAGGAAGGAGAGGAGAGAGAACAAGGAAAATGCATTTTGAAATGGAGGACAGAGGGGCTGGGTGCCATGGCACACGCCTGTAATCCCAGCACATTGGGAGGCCAAGGCATGGGAATCACTTAAACCGAGGAGGCAGAGGTTGCAGTGAGCCGAGATCGTGCCACTGCACTCCAGCCTGGTGACAGAGCAAGACTCTACCTAAAAAATGAAAATAAAAATAAATGGAGGGCAGAGATCCTTAGGGAAACCAGCAGGCCCTGTCCTTTACCTCTCATAGGACTCATCGCTGTCTATCTGTTGGCATTTCTGAGTTTGACCCAGAGTGCACAAAACACAGGTATAAAGCCTTGTCAGGCTTATTGACAGATGAACTGTTGTCTCTTTAACGTCAAACACAGCACCTCACCTGTAGCAGGTTCTCAGTAACTTTTATTGATTGAATGAGTCAATGCGTGAGTGAAGTAGGAAAAGTCATCTGCAATAGATCGATAGTTTGAAGGTTAAGAAGAATGGAAAAGCTTTGCAACAATGATGTATAGTCATAGTCATTTAGAGATGAATATGGACATTTTTAAGATTCAATAAAGTATCAGCCTACTTGAAATGTTTGCATTCATTGTCAAAAAACATATTCAGAAGGCTAACCCTTATCACCTCTCTGAGGCTCCCAGGGAGATATTATGAGGCATCATCTTCTGGGTTATGATGGCTTCTTAACTGGCTTCCACATTTCCACCTTTGACGCCAGCTAGTCTCTTCTCAATACAGCAGCCAGACTGTTACAACACAAGACAGCTGCTATCACTTGCAGCTCAAAACTCTCCAGAGGATTCCACTTCTACTCATAGTTGAAGGCAAAGCCCTTATAATGGTTTCCAAACTTTACTTAAACTGACCCAGCTCCTTCCTCTTGTACCTTATCTAATCCACTTCTTTCCTCTTGCTCCTGCTCATTTTGCTCCGGACACACTAGTCTGCAACCCCCCAGGCACATCATACCATAGGGGCATTGGATTAGCTGTTCCTTTCCTCTGGTACATTCTTTTCCCGGATATTTGCATATTGGGGCTTTGAGGGGGCCATGATCTGGGAATCCAGGATATGGGAAAGTCCAACAATGTAGTTATTGTCAATAAGAATATTGGCAGTGAATATTTTGGAAAGAGGGCTGTAAATGAACTATGAAAATTTTTGATGACGATGGCAGAGGATTGGAGTGTTTTGTCAACAAACAGAATAAAGAGATAATTTGTCTCCAAATATCACCAAGCAAATTATCTAAGCAGAAGCATCTAGTGGGTATTTTAAGAATACAGATTCTAGGCTGGCTCACACCTGTGGCTCGCACCTGTAATCCCAACACTTTTGTAGGTGGAGATGGAGGATGGGTTAAGGTCAGGAGTTTGATGGCAGCCTGGGAAAACAGTGAGACTCCATCCATTTTTGCAAAAAATTATCAATTAGCTGGGCATGGTGGCATGCTCCTGTTGTCCTAACTACTTGGGAGGCTGAGGTGGGAGGATCACTTGAGCCCAGGAGTCTGAGGTTACAAAGAGCTATAATTGCACCACTGCACTCTAGCCTGGCAACAGAGTGAGATGCTGTATCACCAAAAAAAAAAAAAAAAAAAAAAAAAAAAAAAAAAAAAAAAGCAGATTCCTAAGCCAGAATCTTGGAGGTCTTGATCTCAGTTCAGCACGTTGTGGGTGATCTTCAGGAATTAGTGTTTGAAAATCTCCCTGTTTGGAACGACTTGTGCAGATAACTGGTAAGACTGGAGAGAAGGTGATAATGCATTTATCAGGGACTTCAAAGAGGACACATCATAGAGATTTGGGGGTGAAGAATGGAGAAATGGTAGTGGGGAGCAGAGGACAAGGACCCCTCTTTCCCATTCTATTGTTTAGGAGGAATTGCAGGAGGTGTACTTTGTGGGTAAAGATGAGAATAAAGTGAAATCAGCACGGGAAAGGCAGGTTTCAGGTTTTTTGGTTTTTTTTTTTTGAGACGGAGTTTCGCCCTTGTTACCCAGGCTGGAGTGCAATGGCACGATCTCGGCTCACCGCAACCTCCGCCTCCTGGGCTCAGGCAATTCTCCTGCCTCAGCCTCCTGAGTAGCTGGGATTACAGGCACGTGCCACCATGCCCAGCTAATTTTTTGCACTTTTAGTAGAGACGGGGTTTCACCATGTTGACCAGGATGGTCTCGATCTCTCGACCTCGT